TTGTGTAATAAAGGGCACTTTCTACCACCACCAGTCAAAGACAAGCTTTGACAGCGGAGAGGAAGTGGAGTAGGATGTGTGTGTGACTACTAAACACCCCTTGCCTCCAACATGAGACCCTGGGGGTGTCTGTTCGGCACTGAGGAGGGTGGTAGTGCTGGGGCAGGGGCAGGACTCTAGCTTTGGCAAGCACCATGCCCAGGTGTTAAAGCAAGGGCTTACCTTTTGCAGATAATGCTCTTATGATGCTCTGCATGGAGAAAATGCAGGTCCCCATGGTACAAGTAGCAAGTCCAGGGAGACTGCTTAGGATAAGGGCACGAGGCTTACTCCCTTTCCTTATACCATGGTTGAGATTTGAATCAGGATCCGGTGTGCACCTTGAGGGCTTGCGCTTTGAACTCCCAGTGTCACATTTCATTTGACCCTTATACCCCAGTTAACATGTGGCTGATTGTATGGAATCAAAATGCCCCTTAAATGTTTTAAGCCTGGCCCTGACCTGGATAGAAACCAAAGGAAAAAAAAGGGGGGGGGGACTCAACCCAAAATGTAGCTGCAATCTAAGAGGGTCAAGCTACAGGTAAATTAATATAAAAAATATACTAACGTTTATTAGGGTGTAGGAGCTGCGGTGGCTCAAGTGGTTAAGACGCTGAATTGCAGGCTGTGGAAGGTCAGTAGTTCAGCAGTTCGAGACCCGGGCGCCGCATGATGGAGTGAGCTCCCATCTCTAGTTCCAGCTCCTGCCAACCTAGCAGTTCGAAAGCAAGAAATTGCAAGTAGATAAATAGGTACCACTTTGGTGGAAAGGTAACAGCGTTCCGTGCGCCTTGGTGTTGAGTCATGCCGGCCACATGACCATGGAAACATCTTCGGACAGCGCTGGCTCTTAGGCTTTGAAACGGAGATGAGCACCGCAACCCTAGAGTCGGATTCGACTGGCTTTCGAGCAAGGGAACCTTTACCTTTACCTTTTATTAGGGTGTACATATAAATAGAACATAAAAAAGGTTAAAAGTAACAGTCTAAATATCAGACTCAAAGAAAATATTTCATTCAGAACGGATTGTTATACATATCCAATAGATGGGTAAAACATTTGACCTAAGGACCATACGTGTTTCGCCCCCTTCGGGCCTTCCTCACTGGTCAGTATTCCTTATTTTACAATGACACACATCCAGAAATACATGCATAAAGAATGATATATAGATATATGACCAGGTGTTGCTTTCTTACATGCTTTGCAGTTATTGCAAGTTTGTGTAATGGGCCATGGATAGTAGCTGTGCAAATTCACCAAATTATTCTGGTATCGAATATCCCATTCATCAGGATGTGTGTCGCTTCCATCAAAGGTAATAGTCAATCAGTTCTGAATGAAATATGTTGAAAGGAGTCTCAGAGCGGCTTACAAACTCCTTACCCTCCCCCTCCCCACAACAGACACCCTGCGAGGTAGGTGGGGCTGAGAGAACTCTTGACAGAAACTGCTCTTTTTCAAGAACAGCTCTGACAGAACTATGGCTTGCCGAAGGTCACCCAGCTGGCTGCATGTGGAGAAGTGGGGAATTGAAAAGTATGCAGACGGAGAGTGATTTCAGCAAAGCGTACTTTATTCGATCAGGAACAAGAAGACTTTGGTCGGCTTGCAGGCCGGCTTATATTTCCTGAGAAACCGCCACCCAAAACACTCCCCCCACTTCCCAATAGGTTATTTACAGTGGCCGAGAGTCCCATAGACTCTCGGCCGGGAACCTAGCCCACTGATTGGAGCGGGCTAGGATCCGCATAGTCCATTGTCTCTTGGAGCGAAGCTCGATGTTTGTGCCTGACCCCGTGGAGCCCAAGCAGGCCACGCGGTCTGGACTGGATACATTACAGGAATCAAAGCCGGTTCTCCCAGATTAGAGTGCGCACTTAACCACTACACCAAACTGGCTCTCACACTAGACTGCCCGCCCCCCCCAAATTTGAAGCCTGTGGAACAGACCTGTGCAGGATTTTGGGCCTTGCAGAATGTAAAAAAGAAAAGTCGTCCTACCATTGGTCATAATCAGTCCATCATTACTCCCTAGTGCTGGGACTGCCGGTGGATTCACTAAGGACTCCAGCTGCCTTCTCCCCTTGCCAGAAAGATAAGGAGGTGTCGGGTCTGGTGCCGTTGTGGCGTGAGAAATAGCTAGCTAACAACCCCCCCCCCCCAATAGAGAGCTTCCCAGCTCCTTGCTGGTGCTGACAAGCAAGATTGGCCTCAGCAAGGATTTGGAGATAAATGGCATAGGGAGTGTCACTGCGAATCTCCATGCATGTCCTTTTGGCCGATAGAGCCAAGCTGACAGACAGCTGTACCAGGGAATCCCGATAGCACTCCATGCCCCAAAGCCTGCAGCTGGGGGACTAAATAAAACTTCCTCTGAATTGTGGTTTCAGGTGGGGTAGCCATGTTGGCCTGAGGTAGAAGAGGAGGATTCCAGTCCAATAGCACGCCTAGGGACCAACAAGGTTTCCAGGGTAGAAGCTTTCAAGACTCAAAGCTCCCTTCTCTGACAAAAGGAAACCTTGACTCTCGAAAGCTTATACCCTGGATATCTTGTTTTGTCTTTAAGATGCTACCAGACTCAAATCTCGCTCTTGTGTGCCTCCTGACTTCACCTAAATTCGGATACTAATACTGAGTAGGGGTTGCTTCCACATGGATGTTTTGCTTCACTTTGTCTCCCATCAATGCTCCCTCTAAGCTGTGGAGTCTTGTGAGCAGAAATTCTACTTTGTGAGCAACTGGCATTAAAGTTGTGAGCAAGTGATCTGGCTGCTGCATGAATTAGTTTGCTCTGGAGCCATCCTTCCTGAGCTAAGACAAAAATGTGTGATCCAGAGGCTAAAAAACTGTGAGCTAGCTCACACTAGCTCAGCATAGAGGGAACACTGCCTCCCACACTAGACTTCTTTTTCCCCTCCAGAGCATCTTCACGATGTAATCATGCAATTGGCCATCTTCCAGACGTGTACAGCTCTGATCTGGATTGAGACTGGGCATGCAGGGAGAGGAAGTTTAAGCCTTTCCTCCCATGCTGTTTTTGTGTCCTGAAATGTCCCTGGGGAGCTGCCGTTTACCCTGTCGGGGAAAGCAATGGGTACTGATGGGCTGCGTGTAAATTTCTCCAGTAGGGCAAATAGCGGAGCTGTTTCAGGTCAGGGAAATAGCATGGGTGGGAAATCATCCTGGCTACGTAGAGCCAAAGACGAACTACCCTGCACGTGGCAAATTTTCTAGCCGTTGTTGCCACATCACATGACAACTTTTGTAGTAGCAGCCTTTAAGTTCTTCCATGTTTTCCTGTGAAACGAGGTTTATGGTGGGACGAGGGTTTGCTGTTTATGACTCTGGCTCGAAAAACAGTACAAAGTAATAAGTAAAACAAATTAACCCCCCTTTCCCTGTGCACACTGGTCCCAGTCCGAATCAGGACCACACATACCTGGGACTTAAGGTCCCAACACAGAACTCCCAAAGAATGAGAGGACTGGAACGGTCATGTGAGGACACAAGAACTATATAACGTGTGAATTGTCCCATCTGCTTGTTCCACAATCTTTTCCCTTCCTATAAGTTGTGTTCCCCCCTACAGGGCCTGAAGGCTGCACGATCCTCTAGTTGATAATAATTTTAATCTTATTGCTTATGTTGTGGTATGCCATCTGAAGAGATAAATGGCTGAGGCTTGTCACTAAACGGAAATAATGTGTGAAAGCAAAATAGAATTTCCGAGAGTGAACTCAGTTGTAAACAGAGAGAGTGTGCTCTCTCCTGCTCCTAGACTACTGAGCGAGTGAGCTCTCTGTGCTTTCTTATCTCTTCTATTGTGGCCTTCCTGGTTTTATTTTTCTTTGGGCTCTGGCCAAATCAATTATAGGGATATATTTATGGGCAAAAGAACAGCTACTTTTAAAGTGGTTTTTTCCTAAGGTTAAAAATTCCTACCTAATGCAGCCCTTTGGGGTGTACCGCAAGCTTGTCATATGAAATAAATTAGCTCATTTATTAGCTTCTTAAAGAAATAATGTAGCTTGTTAATGACGCTTACCCCAGTTGTGATTAAGCGACTGATGGAAAGTACCCCCTTCCCCCTACTACAGTCAAGAACCACTTTGACTGATGGACTTAGGTCAGTCTGTGGGACCTCATCCCTTGGGCCGTAAAAGACCCTCGCTTAATTAACTCTTAAATAGAGATCCAGAAACTGATTTGTTTTATGGGCTTGCTTTGGAAACGGAATCTGGTAGGTGGTAGCACTGAGGCCAAAACAAACCCCCCTTCTGTAAGATCTTAAAGATCCAGTAGCATTCAGATCCCTCCAGGCTTTCACATTACAAAACGGATCAAATGGATAGTGTCAGCAGAGAGCCAGGAACAGAACTGTGAAATTTGCCCAAGGCCTCCCCAGTAAGAGCCTGGATGAATGAGTGAGCATTTGATCCCAGGTCTCTTGAGTCCAGCACTGCAGCCACTGGGCTTTCTTGCTTCTCTCTTTTTTATGGGGGTATTTTTGTATTTTGTGTGTGTGTGTGTGCACCCATGCCTGGAAGTCATGGCGACCTATAGCGACTCCTACTGGGGCATGGAGGCTGTTCAGAGAAGTGGCTTGATAACCTGCCTCTGCCTCCTGACCTTGGTATTCGTTGGAGGTCTCCCATCCAAGTACTTGCCAGAGATGGCCCTGCGTAGCTTCCAAGATCTGATGAGATCGGGCTTGCCTGGGCTATCCAGGTCAGGGTGGCTGTCTTGCTTCTCTTAATAGTTGAATGTAATTGTTTATGTGTCATCTGTCCCCAGGAACAAGTGTTTTTCTAATGCACTAATATGAGGTAAGGAATCTCTGGCTGTTATCAGAGCATCACCTTTATCAATGACTATCAGTGATCAATGAGCATCACGGTTATCAACAATGGTAACATCGTCTCTATTGACAGTTGTGATTTTTGTTGTTTTCCAGGTCCACAGAGTAAGGTGTCCAGATGCCAGCCCAATGAGCACAACTGCTTGGGTACTGAGCACTGCATCCCCATGACCGAGCTGTGCAACGGGGAGAATGACTGTGTGGATGGCTCAGATGAAGGAGTCCATTGCCGAGGTAAATATGCTCCAGTGTTGTCTGTTCTGGCCATATCTCTGTGCTGAAGTTTGTGCTGTTGAAGAAGCAGTGGGTGAAGCTGAATGCTGGACCGGACAATTAGGAGAGCTGTATCCTAGAACTTGGCTGGAATTTCCCTCTGAGCTCCAGTCGTGGTGTTGCAGCAAAAATGACTGATGCATCTTTGTTGTTTTAATAAAAGGATGGGAGTGGTGTTACAGTTGTGAGGGTGGTAGCAAATCAGTGCAGAGGCATAACAAACAGGAACTAGGTATATTAGATGTACAGTGAGGAGGAGCAGGAAAAAGTTTCCATCAGTATTTTTTTAAAAAAATATATATTTTTAATGGGGTCTGAAGTCATATTTTCATGGGTTGCAAAACAGCACCGTGTGCATGACTCATATTTGTGCTTTACTTCTAACTTGCACGTCTTTCATTTTAGTCATTACGGAAATGAATAAAAGCCCGTGGCAGCTGCCTTTCGGACAAAAGGGCTGGAGATTCATGTTGTCTGACCGGCTGGTCTTTTTATACCCTGACATTCTCTTCTCTGAGGAAACAGTTCAAGGAAGGGATGGTTTACAGGAATGGGACGTTGTGCTTAATCCTCTTGCCTGACACTTTGCCCTAGAACCGGGGTGGCCAAACTTGCTTAACGTAACAGCCACACAGAATAAACATCAGATGTTTGAGAGCCACAAGACATGAACAAATATTACACGTTTTTATTGAAAAATAGGCCAATTTGCTTTTTATGAGCATTAAATTAGACTGCGGCTCCCGAGCTGCAGTTTGGCCGCCCCTGCCCTAGAAGCTCCCCCCCCCTGCCCTGCCTCAACTGTGGTTCTCCCCAAGCCAGGGGGAAGTGATGGGAACATGGGTCTGGAGCCCTGAGCTTGGGTGAAAGGCCTGGGCAGATCGGTGGGGGGAAGGGAAGCGTAGCGCTAACATCAGGCAGGGGAAGGGTTAAGTGTCCCAACCTCCCCCCCCCATTGCTTCTCTGCTGCGAACGGCTTGCTCCTGATTCTGCTTGTCCAGAAGAGAAGCAGGAGACAGGATTCCAGATGACAGCCGGGCTGCACAAGTGAACAGCTCAGCCCGGCGTCGTGAGTTGGGTTGGATCCTGGGAATCGTGAGAGCCCGGCAGATTTCCCCTGCCTTCCTTTGAAGTGCGGAGTGGTGATTTCACCCCGGTTTCCTCTCTGCAGCACCCCTCCACAGGAGTCCCCTGAAAACCAGCTATGCCTTTTCTGGCTCACGCACAAGACGGCTGTTCCAGAAAGGTGAAAATATGGGGAAGAGCTGCAGGCCTCCTTGCGCTTGCAGTTCTCAAGATCCGACCTGGTGTGCCACATAACTTCCTTTTAAACGACTCATATGAACACACACGAAGTTGCCTTATACCGAATTAGACCGTCAGACCCTCAAGGTCTGTCTTGTCTACTCAGACTAGCAGAGGCTCTCCAGGGTCTCGGCAGAGAGGTCTTTCACGTCACCAGGGCTCTTTTTGTAGAAAAAGCCCAGCAGGAACTCATTAGCATAATAGGCCACACCCAACAGCACACACTCGTTAGCATATTAGGCCACACCCCTGAAAGCACCGCATATTAGCATATTAGGCCGCACCCCCATGTTACCAGAAGTGTGGTCATCCAGCCACACCCACCTTTTGCTTCTTATTCTGTTTACCTTTGTTGTCAAAACCCAGAGCTTTTTTTGTAGCAGGAACTCCTTTGCATGTTAGGCCACACACCCCTAATGTAGCCAATTCTAATGAGTTTCTGATGTTGGGTGTGGCCTATTATGCTAATGAGTTCCTGTTGGCTGTGGCCAACTCAGGAGCCAGCCGGAACTCTGTTCCTGTGCGTTCCTGCCCAAAAATAGCCCTGCACGTCACCCCCTCCCTGATCCTTTTTACTGGAGATGCTGGGGATTGAACCTGGGAACTTCTGCATGCAAAGCAGAGAGTCTTCCAGTGAGCCACAGCCCATCCCAAACTGTATCTTTGTTGAAAATAAATATTCAAATGTAATTGCAAAGGTGTGTGTGTGGGGTGGGGGTGGGGATGTTGGCGTGTGTGTTTAGGAATAAGCGGAGGTTTTCCGAAACAAAACTAGGGAGTGCAGATTGGCCTTTACAAATCCCATGTAATGGGGAGGTGCGGGCCCATAGGTTTTTGGCATAAAGACTGAAAATGTAGCTTATCAAGCAGCCCTATCACTGTCCTCCAGTACAGAGGTCTGCAACCTTTCACAGAGCCAACCTATGTCAAAATTCATAGCTAGAGATCAACAAAGAGGCAGTATAAGAAAGTCCATTTACATAACTGAAGCAGTGCAACTTACCAATAATTGACATATAGATCAAGAATCCATAAGGTTTCTGTAGCCTGAATGGTGGTTGTAGCAAGTCCTTTCTTAGCACATGGCACACACGAGGTTGCACAATAAGTAATAAAGATACACCCTGTGCCATTGTAGACTTGACAAATCTGTGCATGGGTTGCCCTTGGGTTCCTGGCAGCTGTTCACCTCTGTAATTTCCATTCTGTAAAGCATCTTCAAGAATCCCTTCAGTCCTCATAAATATCTTTGCCCGCCCTTCCCTTCACACGCTGTTTATTTTAGTATCACACCTACCCCTCCAGGTATGGTAACTGAAAGATTTCCCCCCCCCTTTTTTAAAAGCCATATTTGGTACCATACTGAACCACATCTGGCTTTAGAGCCATGGTCTGCAGGCCTCTGCTCCTGCAGACAGGCAATAGACATGGTTGAGAATGTGATTTTGGAAAGGAGGCTGAGAACAGGACCATGAGAATGATTTGAATGCTAGAGAATCAAGCTGTGGAAGACAGCAGATGGTGACTGTTGGCACAGGCAATATCTGGTGTAGAAAGAAGAGAGAAGACGACCTTGCTGACAACCTATCAGGAGGAAAAGGGAAGGGTGGGCGATTTACCCAGATATCTTCATAAAGGGAAGAAAGGATTGCCTGTTAGCTGTTTAATTTAGCAGTTTAATATTATGAGGCATGAGAACATAAGACTAGTTAACTGCCAGAAAGAGAGAGGTCGATATTTGCAAGATAACCTTGCTATGCTAGTGCAGCCCAATCCTGTGTAAAAGTGAGCCTTCAGTGGGGCTTTTTCCTAAGTAAGTGCATGTAAGATTGAAGCCTCTGGTTGTTAGAAAAGTGGCTTGCCTTGGCCCGGCACCAGCATGGTTGGGATTTCGGAGAAACAAGTGTTCAAAACAAAAAAAAAGCCACTTGTTTCTATTTCCCCACAGCCCTGCTTAAATAGCCACATTGTCCTCCGGAGGTTTAAAAGCTCTTGGGAGTTCTCATTCTGATGCCGATCAAAGAGGCTTGTTTCTTTCTAACCCAGCCTCTCTGTAATCCTATTGGAAAACTTGCTGTTTGCAGAGTTGAATATTGGAGTATTTCAAAGTGGCTGTCACATGAGCAGATTACTCACCTGCCGACACGTCTGTCCTGAAGTGAACTTGGGAATAGAGTCCTCGGCTTGTGGATCGGGAAGGAGGGTAATGCAAGGGCTGCTGCTGTTTCTGGAACGTTCAGTTCAAAGGCATCTCTGCGTTGTGGTGCGGAAAGGACAAATAGCTGTGTAGTCTTAGAATCATAGAATGTTAGAGTTGGAACGGACCTTGCAGGTCATCTAGTCCAACCCCCGGCACTCTGCAGGAGCACTTTTGAAGTTCCCCGTTCACCTATAGAATGTGCATTCCACGATTCCCCCTCACCCCATGAGACTGCATATACTTGTAGCAAAAACAGTGTTCAGCAAGTGGCCCTCTGCCTTGGGGGCCGGCCTGTTTGTATAGTTCTTTCTCAGTGAGGCCTCCTTGGCCTGTTTGTTGTTTTCCTTGGAAGAAACCTGGTAGAGCTCCCTAAGTGCCTTCAGATACATCTCTCAGGGCTTGGATGAGTTCCAGTCACATGCCATAAGCCTCAGAACTCATTGGTCTGATTCTTTCCATAAGAGAGGTTACAAAACACTCTGCACCAACCAGGGAGTGACGTGTGTAGTTTAATCTTCCAAGATGAATCCCAGGGTCTCCCTGCATAGCATTTACCTGGTTGGTCCAAGGCTGCCCGACCTCTCTGTGACATCAGAGCAGCAAAGCTGGCAGCCATGTGGGTCTCTTGACCAATCGTCTGATCCTGTTATGACAGAACAGGTCAGCCACTCACGGGTGGGTGATACAGCCTTCAGGGTGCGATGCAGCCGGTCATGACATACTGCTGTTTGGTGCCAAATCTGCAATGCAGCTATCCTTGATTCGTGTGACAGCTGAGATCTAGGAAATGAGAAGCTGTCATAGGAGAGGGGCCAATTCAGAGGCAGCAAACCTCTTTTCAGAGGCAAGAAACTTCTGAATACCAGTGCTAGGAGGCAGCATCAGGGGAAGACTTCAGCCTCTATGCTCTGTTGGCCCTCAAGAGGAACTGGTTGGCCACTGTGTGAGACAGGATGCTGGACTAGATGGACCACTGGTCTGGCCCAGCAGTGCTTTTCTTCTGTTCTTATGGCTGTGGCTGTGGCTGTTCTTATGGCTGTGGTTCATTGGTAGAGCATCTGCTTGACATGCAGAAGGTCCCAGGTTCAATCCCCCAGCATCTGCAGTTACAAGGATCAAGTGGTAGGTGATGTGAAAGACGCCTACCTCAGACCTTGGAGAGCTGTTGGCCACTCTGAGCAGACAGTATTGACTCTGATGGACCCATGGGCTGATTTAGTATAAGACAGTTTTATGTGCCTGTTCACTGAATTCTTTTTCCAGAGGATGTGAGTTTGACTGGAGGCCAGCCTTATGTCTTGCCTTACAAAATGTTTTTATTCCATTGCGTGGAGATGAATACCAGCTGTTCTGCATGGTGAAAGGAAGACCATGACAAGGCTTGTGAAGGAGTGGTAGTGTTCCAGCCACTCGCTCCCTACAAGTCTAGAACTGGAATTCTTTAGAGTCTGGTTGT